GGACAAATGAAGAGGGACTTTTGGGTGGATGTGGCATGGGGTATGGAATAATAATAATCCTCACCCTGGTCCTTTGCTCCTGACTGTTTAAAAGATTGTCTGCATCCCACAGAGAGATGTCCCTTAAAGTCACCCAGCTAGTTAGAAACTGAGCTGTCATCAGACACCAGATGTCCTGCAAATCCAAAGCTGCCCCACTCTCAACTCCACTCAGTTAACGCTGGATTGTTGATCTTTAAGTTGCATTTCAGAGAGTCTTAATCTCTGGCACCAATTGTACAAACAAGCGAGGGCCCAGGTCACCAGACACCGGAGGCCCCCAAGACATGCCCAGTGAGAGCAGGTGTGTGGCTTTCAATAAGAAGCTTTTGTTTTGCATGCTCACCTTAAGTTGTGTGTGTAGGTTTTAAACTGTCCATTCTTGGTATTTTCCCCATTTTATTCCATAGCAGCCACCCACCAATAAGCATTATTTTTTAAAAATTCTGCCCATGTTCCTGTACCATCGCATCTCTTCTGTCATTGGGTCAACTCTGCTGGGCTTTGTATACCTTGCTTTTTCTGTCCTAAACTTGAAAGGCCCAGTCACATTAGCCCAGAGCAGTCGGATTACTGCGGGAATGCTGCCCTCTGCAGGCCACTGACCTGCATGGCCCTTTGAGAGGGAAGCCTGACTAGAATTCGGGCAAAGAGTAACAGCTGTTATGGTCTGACTCCTTTATGTGGATTTTCTAATTTAATTCTCACAACAATCCCATGAGGGTAAGCATTATTATTACCTTCATTTTTTAAAAGAGGAAGTCGAGTCCCAGAGGGGGTCAGTAACTTGTTCAACACAATTGGAACCCAGGTGGTCTCTTTCCAGTGTCTGCCCTGCTAACTCCCAAAAAAGGAAGATAACTAACAATTTTTGAGCAACTTAACCATGACAGGCATTGCATACATTACCTCATTTAATCCGTCAGCCAACGTTAAGCAAATTAACTAAAATAAAACTCATTTCCTTACCTGTGGTCTCACAACCATAAGGTGGATCTTTCTATGTCCGAAGCACTGGCTTCACCCCTGTGTCACTCATGCACCCACATTTCCCTTCAGGAGACCCTTGCTGAGGGCACAGTCCACTCTCGGCCTCCAGCTGCCGCTCCGTCAGAACTGCTGCAGGATCTGCACCGGGGTTCTCCCAGCCAACATCTGACCGCGGGCCCCAGACCAGAGCCCGGCCATCTCTGCCCAGTTCAGGACTCCTCTAACGTTGCTGGAGACTCCCCATCGGCCTGGCCCAGGCTCTCCCATTGGTGCACTGCAGTCGGAGTCCTACTTCCTTCCTGCCCTCATCTTGCAGGTGTCAGAACAGCACTGTGATCTGAGGGTCTCCGCCCACACCTGCTCCCGCCTCCTTCATCTTTCACAGCTGTTATCCCCAGTAAATTCCAAGCACCTCTCCTCTCCACTTCTCAGAGGACCCAAACTGACCCCATGAGCAGTTCTGATCATCCAAGAACACTTTTTCCTTCAATGGAGCCATCAACACTGCTTATTATCAAGTCCTGTATATGCAGAAAGAACAGTATCAAGAAAAGAAAACGTCAAAATCCCATGCAAATGTTGGATCTCTCCATCTCTCCATGTGTACTACAGGGGCCCATGGAGCACCCAGGACCAGACCAACCACTGGTACCAGGGGGTGGCCACTGTCTGTGGAGGCCCCAGACCCTGAGATTCTTAGCCCACCTCCTACTACCCCACAGGAGATGGTCCTGGCAAAACTGTGAAAGGTGCAGGGTTTGTTCCCACACCCTGCTTCCCCAAGAGCCCAGTTCCTTATGCTGGTGCCTCCTGATCAGTTCCCAGGTGTGGAATCCCAGGTGGAGCTGTCCACCTGGCATAGAAAGTCACCCTCCAGGATGTCCTCGCCTCCCTTCCCACCCCCTGCCCATCCCTAGATCTTGTCTTCCGTTCACCTATCCATGTAACACAGACCAGGTGCCCCGGTGGTCGGCATCAATCTGGGCAATTTGGGGATCCACCTGGGTGAATCGGACACTGATCTGACTTTCTGTTGCTTGCACTGAGTGAAGGAGATTGGTGGTGAGCATCAATGACTACCTGGCAGAATAAACACCCGGGAGAAGCAGCCGTGCAGAGGGGATCTGTAATCAGAAGGCCCAGACCAGAGTCCTGCATTTGCCATCTTGGGCAAGTTACTCTCCCTCACCTAGCCTTGGTTTTCATGTCTATACATGAAGACCAATAGAACAGTGTGTTCTCACCACAGGCCACGTACTGTGTCAGATAAGGAGGGTTTGAAGTCCGGCAGACCGGGATTGGACCCCTGGCTGGATAAACTCGAGCAAGAGAGCTAGCATCTATGCACCTCAGTTTTTTCATCTGCATAATGGGCACACCAACACATCTCATGGTGTTGTTATGACCATAAAAGTAATGTGCATGTAAAGAATCTGTTCTTGCCAGGCCAGCATGGCTCAGTGGTTGAGCATCAACCTATGAACCAGGAGGTCTCGGTTCGATCCCCAGTCAGGGCATATGACCGAGTTTCGGGGGCATGCAGGAGGCAGCTAATCCGTGATTCTCTCTCATCATTGATGTTTCTATCTCTCTCTCCCTCTCCCTTCCTCTCTGAAATCAATAAAAATATTTTTTAAAAGAATCTGTTGTTAGTAAATATGAAATACGTGGCAGCTATTCACCAGAATGTTTGGTAAGAATAAGAAAAGATCATATATGGACAAGTGCCTTGTAAGGTAACCTGGTCAGACAGAAGTTAGTTAGTGCTGTTGTTATAAATGCCACAGAAGGAATGGAGTAAGGGGTCTGGAACTCCAAGGTGAGGGAGAGAGGAGTCAGGCTTGGTCAGGCCGAGGCAGGGGTGAAGGCAGGGCAGATGTGGGGACCAGCAAAGGCAAGAAAGCGCAGGGCCAGCTTGGGAACCTGCCAGAAGCCCCATTCCCTTAGGGCCTTGTTGGGTGAGGACAAAAGAATCAGAAAGAGGAAGCCCAGACAAGGTGTTAATGAGAGGACTGCATGGAGGAGGCCAGCTATCTCAGGCCCTGGGCAGCTTACCTACTGAGGAGTTTACAATCACACTGGGAAACAAGACACAGGCTGTAGGCACCATTGAATAACACCCAAAGCTCTGTGAAAAGGAGGAGAGAATGGGAGTGTGGCTACCAGAGTGCCAAAAACATTTCCCCAGGGACAGCAGAATGAGAACATTTCATTCGATAAGAGAGAGAAGCAAGGGTGACCCAGGCAGAGAGAGCCAAACGCCGGGAGGCGGGCATAGCCCCACCAGCAGCTCTTTATATTTGCATCACACTTTCCAGACGTTCCCCTGCATTTGCCTGACCACCATGCATAGCCCTGAGGTGGGACTAGAAGGATGGCCATCCCTTCAGCGGGCTGTCCCCTCCACAGCCCTTCCCCACCAGCCTGGGTGGGGTGGGTGTGGATGGTGCAGTGGGGATGGAATTTGAGAGAAACAGATTCCGAGACACCAGTGTTCCCACTTGGGAGCCACGGGAAGGCCGAGCCCACGGTCAGCATTGTTTCTCGCCTCCCTGCCCAGCTCCACATTCCGGCCGAGGCCATGTGTAAATGCACACAAACCACCTCGGCCCTCCTCGGTGAAACGCCTGCTCAAAGTGTTCTGATTATAAGTTTGTTTTCGCAATAAATACCAAGGTACCTATTGGACATTTTTAATAACCACTCACATCTCTGGAAATGTAACAAGTTTAATGCCCATGGCACTGTGTTTAATTTGCTTATTGTGTTGGGGAGATGGCTGATGTCAGTGCTATTGATAAAGAGTGTGGGCCCCATCACCCCTGCACTTTGACCTGCCGCTGCGGCATATGGAACAGACGCACGACCACCGCTTGGGTCTCCGTGCAGTCCAGCCTGGCCTTGACCTTCTGAAAGACTACATACTATTTAGGTACAAATGACTTTCCTAGTTTTCTCCTTTGTAAAAACAATGATGCTGGTGGGAATGTGGAATGGTGCAGCCACTCTGGAAAACAGTATGAAAGTTCCTCAGAAAATTACATATGGAATTACCGATGACCCAGCAATGTCACTTCTGGCTATATGCCCAAAGGAATAGAAAATGGGGACTTGAATGGATTATTGCCCACCCATGTTTACAGCAGCATTATTTACAGTAGCCAAAATGTAGAAGCAACCAAGTGTCCATTGGTAGATGAATGGATAAACAAAATGTGGTCTATACATACACCACATTCTATGCATACAATAGAGAATTATTTAGCCTTAAAAAGGAAGGACATTCTACCAGGCCAGCATGGCTCAGAGATTGAGTACCAACCTATGAACCAGGAGGTCACAGTTTGATTCCTGGTCAGGGCATATGACCAGAGTCAGGCTTGATCCCCAGTGTGGGGCATGCAGGAGGCAGCCGATCGATGATTCTCTCTCATCATTGCTATTTTTTCTCTCTCTCTCTCCCTCTTCCTTCCTCTCTAAAGTCAATAAAATTTTTAAAGGAAGGACATTCTGAGACATGCTATAGCATGGATGAACCTCGAGGACATGGCACTAAGTGAAATAAGCAAGACACAAAAGCATCAATACTGTATGATCCCACCTATATGAGGTACCTAGCATAGTCAGATTCACAAAGACAGAACATGGGATGCTGGTTTCCAGAGGCTGGGTGCAGAGGGAATAGGGAGTCACTGTTTAATGGGGACAGAGTTTCGGTTTGGGGAGATGGAAAAAGTTCTGGAGATGGATGGTGGTGAGGGCTGCAGAACAATGTGAATGTATTCAATCCCCCTGAACTGTATGCTTAAAAACAGTTAAAATGGTGAATTTCATGTTATGTTTCTTTAACTACAATATTTTTTAAAGTTATGCATTCTATTAGTTTTTATGTGTGTATCAGCAGGATAGTAAAGAGGGCGTTTCAAAATATTTGTTTTTAAAAGGAAACATTACATGGAGAACAAGGTGTCTAGAGTTTTATGCCCTTGGTGTTTTATGGCGCATTTTATTTTGTCTGGAGACTTTCTGGCACCCCTTGAACCATGTGGAGACACCTAGGCATCACTAATGAAAGGCTGGGGATTGTTGGGGCACAGAATGGAAAACCCCAGGGGACTAAGGAAATATATATTGGAGCTTATGAGGATCGGGGCTGAGGGAAGAGCTACCCAGAGTCAATTTAAGTGGGATCTGAGCTGGCACGTCTGGGACTACAAACATTTTATATTTATGGAGCTTCTCATACTTTACGATGCAAAAACACTCTGCACGTCGAGTCCATTAACAGGAGGGAGCTGCGGCCGAGTGGAGGGGGACGAACTTGGAGGCAGATCTGACTTGGCCACTTAAGAACAGTCTGTGTGATTTAGGGCAAATGCCTTCACTTCTTCGAGCCTCATTTGCCTCCGTCTGCAAGACATGAATATTTACCCATCTTATTATGAATGCCTCCTATTTATCGAATACTGCGGGCCTGGCGTTTGTCAGACATTTAACCATTAAATATTTGAAAGCCAAAGCAGATGCCGTTGTCTCCAGACATTTCCTCCTGGCTCGCCCGAGGGAATCCATGTGACTTCCTAAGCCTCTCTGGCGGCTTTAGTCTCTTCTGCCCAAACACAGGCAGCCAGGCATGGCCAGGGAGTTAGCCTAGGAGCAACCCTCAGCCAGTGCGGGTCAGGAGCCTGGGGGTAAACACCCAGCCCCTTACCCTGCAGAGTATAATCCAGGAATGGGTCCTAGGGTCTCCAGGAGGCTGGTGAGACCCACAGCTGACAGTTCCTCCCTTCCCTGCCTCACTCGCCACCCTGTGCTTCCTGGAATCAGCTCGCATATAAACCATGTGCACTCAAATACTTGTCTCAGGATCTGCTTTTTTTTGGGGGGGGCGGGGGGGTGGTTAAGAACCCAAAGTAAGACAGCAGCTGAGCCTCAGAGAGCTAAGTCACTTGCCCATAATCTGACAGCGAGAGAGCTTGGCCAAACCATCACTGACAGCCCCCCGAAGCCAAAGTCCCTCTGCCTGGTATCTGACCTGGTGGTTGGGGAACTGAGTGAGATCGTGCAGAGGAAAAGGAGGTTCACCCTGCAAAGTAACTGATGAGAACGCTCTCATTTGATCCTCATGACACGCCCAAGCGGTAGATGGGCAGGTTAGTGTTATGCCCCACTTTATAGGAAACCAAGGCTCAGAGCCTTGCACCAAGGGACCGGCTAATAAGTGACAAATGACAAGATGATTCTCTGCTTCTCCGAGTCTGTTCTCCACATTTATCTGCCTTTCTCTGTGCCCGGAAGTCAACATTCGGGAGTCCATCACCCAAGCCCCTCACTCTCTGGCTTCCGGTTGGGTTCAACCTATAGAAATCACGGGCAGGAAGAGGGAAAGAGGCTGTTAGGCCCCCCACTCTCTCTTTGAGGGGCTGTCATTTTAGTAGTGACAGCAGCCCTCTCCCTGAGCCACGGTCCCTACTCAACCACCTTAATTTAGAAAAAAAAAAAATTAGATATGCAGATTTGCCTAGGTTTTACTTGAAATCTAAAATCCTGGAAAAGAGGGGAGAAAATGAGCCAAGCTTGCTAAGACCCCAAAACCCTTTGTCAGTGCCAGTGTGCCCTGACCTGCATCCTGGCCACGGTTCTCACCAGGGGTGGGTGGGCACATCCTCCTTTGCCTTTCAGTACATGCCATGACTTCTAGTTCTTGCTGGTCCCAGGTGGTTCTCCTCCCCTGCCCACACCTTTGCAAATCTACACATAATCCTGTTGTGACAGGGTCTTCATTAACCACGTGGATGTGTCCTTCTCTTTCTTTCTGGGACTCTGACTGACCCAAAGGGTTTAGCAACCAGCAAGAGGGGGAGAAAATAAAACTTACGGAGCAAATGCCATTTCTCCAGGCAGGCCCTGTGCCAACCCTGGTCCATTCACGAGCCTCACCATGATGCTGCCAAGTGGGTAGTAGTCTCATTCCCATCTCACAGATAAACAAACTGAGACTCAGTAATGGCACATGGACCCACCTCCAGGGCAGTTAGAATGGACAGTCCTGCTCACTTCCCTTCACCACAAAGACCACACTGTTCTCTAGCCTGGCTTGCCATTATTGTAAATAACTGTTGGGACCAGAGCCCCCCCTCCCCCCCCCCCAACCTTGCCCTGGGCATGTCAGGAAACCCGAGAACACCCTGCCTGTGGCGAGGGTGTAGCATCTTTGTGGCCAATGAGCATTCCATGAATGGAAACAGCCTTTCCCTTCTGCGGGGAGAGGCAGGGTTTCATGTGAATGTGTGATGACTGGCAGGGAGCCAAGAATAAGAGCAGGAAATGGGAGCCCAAGTGAGATAACTGCCATGAACATTGAGGCGGGAGCAGGATAAACAGAGGACTTTCAATTTCACGAAGCATTCGAGAGCTCCTTGGCTTAAAGGACGGCCCTTGGGGAGAGCCGGGAATATTAGGAAAAGGGGGAGACAGTCTTGGCAGGCGGGGAAGCTAAGTGCTGGTGGAGCAATTAAAGGGCGGGGCAAATGAGGAGGAAACCGCAGAATAATGCAGAACCCAAAAGCAGGCATCTGAAATGTGCAAAAAAAAAAAAAAAAATTAGACGTTTGTGCTTAGTAGCTGAAAATATTCAAAACAACATTTCGGAATGGGAAACATATGGACTCAAAGGCAGCTGTCATTCGATTTAGCAGCTTGAGAAATGTGACTTGTCCCCATGGGGTTTGGAGGCGGGAATAGTCAGAAAGAACGAGTTCAGAATTCTAAATGGAGGTGCCGAGTTGAATGGGCACAGAGGGGTTTTCCCCAGTGGCTGACAATCATGAATCAAATCAGAAACGCTGGGTTTCACAAGGTCCCTTAGAATATGCATATTGTATTCTCCCTACTCTACACAAATCTGCAACTTACCCATTACTCATAATTTCCAGCTATGTCGCACCTACATTCCAGGCACTTTACATATATTATCCCTAATCTCCCAACAATCCTGCAAGCATTATTGCTGTTCCATTATACAGTTTGAGAAACTGAGGCACGGAGAGTGTGAGGAACTTACTCAAGGTCACATACACAGCTCTGGTGAGAGGCCGAGTGAGGAAGTAAATCCAGCTCGTTCTTTCCCCCAGGCTTTCTAGATGGCCCGATCCTCTGTTTTCAGAAGGGAGCATCAAGAAATAGAGAGGGGATCAGCATGTCTATGCAGGCGGTGGCCCTAGAATTTGAGTAGAGTTCTGTGGGATCTTGGAAGAAAAATCTTTAAGATTACCAAACAGAGTCATGCCGGCATGGATTCGTGTTTGAGCATCGACCTATGAGCCAGAAGGTCATAGTTCAATTCCCGATCAGGGCACATGCCCGGGTTATGGGCTCTATCCCCAGTGTGGGGCATGCAGGAGGCAGCAGATCAATGATTCTCTCACATCATTGTTGTTTCTATCTCTCTCTCCCTCTCCCTTCTTCTCTAAAATCAATAAAAATATATTTTTAAAAAAGATGACTAAACCCACTTCCTATTTTAATGCCATGTTGATCCTCCTAAGATCTCAAAGCAGTGCAACAGGGTAGATTTTTCAAACATAGTAGTCCATATTCCTGCCATTCATGTATTCATTCACTCAACAAACATTTTTCAAGTGCCAAGAACTATGTACTAAGAAAATATTTTTCCAGTAAACAACGCAAAGGTGCTTGATTCGTATTTCCTTTCGATTTGATTTTTTTTTTTTAGCACATTTCAATGTAATTCACTGCATCAGGTCCTCAAATGCTCCTCCAGAAACCCAGTTTGACTAACAATCAGCACACTGCTATCTTTAGCACTTTTATGATGGAATAGCAGTCCTTGCTTTTCACAGTAGTAATTGTGTTTTCTGTTCAGTAACACTGGCGGCTCTGAAAGCATGTATTTCCTTTAGCAACTATGAATGGTAAAGGCCTCCTATAGTATTCCCCTGTCTGAGCAGAGGAGGGCAATTGAAAGGGTGCTTTGTAAAGGCTCTGGAAAAAAACATGGGTTTGGCTGGAGTTTTATTAGAAATCTACAAACCTGGGAAGGGGGAATAAAACTATATAAGTTTGCCAAATCCCAAAACATTTTCCCCATTTGTTCAGACCAAATGCCAGGTTCACGCTGGCCTACTCATCAATAAATGTTTGCTCTGTAACAAATGACCCCTGAAACTTAGTGGCTGAAAACAATAAACGCTTAACATTTCCCATGATCCTGAGGGTCTGCTGGCTGGTGGTCCATCTGCACCTCTCTGGCCAGGACTGGATGGGCTCGGATGCCACGTGCACATGGCTGGGACTCACCTGGGTGAGTAGGGACTCTCTCCTCCCCAGGGGGCTGGCTTGGGCTCCTTCACATACCAGAGAATAGCAACCCCAATGGACAAGCACTTTTCAAGATTCTCTTGTATCATGAAGGCTACTAACTCATTGGCCAAAGCCAGTCACAAGGCCAAGCCAAATCCAAGCCAAATCCAAGCGGAGGAAAAACAGGCTCCACTGCTTGATGGGCGGGTCTACAAATTATTGTGGTCATTTTTTTTCTTATTCCCTCAGCTGGGAGTTTTGCTGGCTGAGGGCCCTGAGCTGCCAGCCCTCTTAGAAATTGTTCCTTTTTTTCCTAAAGAAAGCCACCTCAGACAAGGACACTCCTCCTTCCCAGCAGAAGCCCACAATGGTAACTGGTCAGTACTGGCTTGGTTCCTTGTCCAAACCGGAGACAACCCTGAGGGGTCATCCCAGTTTTGTCGTTTCCCCAATGGTTAGCCACGGCCTTTGTTGAACCTGACTTTCAGTCTCACTCCTCCTCTGCTCAATCCTGCTTTCCCCCTCCAACCAGAGGCATCCATGCTGAGCACTCTCCCCACGAGACCTGCCACAGTCTGATCGCTGTTCCTTGGGGACTCCCACCTGCCAGAGGGCACCAGGTGTCGTCTGAGAGAAGAGATGCTAACATGGAACTGGGTCTGGATCACCTACCAGCCAACAGGGTAGGAGAAGCCAAATCCTGTTGACATGTGGAGTTGACGTGTGGTAAAAACGCCACTGGTGGTAAAGCGGAATGGAATGCTGGGAGAAGAAAAGGTACTAGAGCAGTGGTCGGCAAACTCATTAGTCAACAGAGCCAAATATCAACAGTACAACAATTGAAATTTCTTTTGAGAGCCAAATATTTTAAACTTAAACTATATAGGTAGGTACATTGTTATTAACTTAATTAGGGTACTCCTAAGGCTTAGGAAGAGCCACACTCAAGGGGCCAAAGAGCCGCATGTGGCTCACAAGCCGCAGTTTGCCCACCACGGTACTAGAGGGTGTGGCATATCAAGCTTCTGAAAAATATGGAGGAAATAAATAGTCATTATAAGAGCAATGGAATAGAATGGCTGTTGCTT